CACTTGAGCCATAAACTTTTCCCTTCCCCAACGGCTTCAGCCCATAATGTCCATTGACACCATCCCCTTCCAAAATCGCTCTTCCATTCGCCGGCAACAACATTGATGAGAATCCAATTAATCTCCGATTTCCTCTTATGGCGGTTTCCTCATGGCAACTTCGACCAACCGTGCTCACTCCACTGTCTTCGATTTTGATGGGAATTTCAAAGGAGATGGTGGTTTCAGCTGATGTGGCTTCCGGCCTTTGCTCCTCTCTCTCCCTATGCTCCACCCCCGACCTGTTTTGCAGCAACAATACTAGTTCTGAACCCTCTGGCGGAGAAAACACTACGACTCCCATCAGCTACTCTCTGATGATGTCTTCTTGTTGAGGTGGATTCCAGTTTGTGTCCTCTTGAGACAAACCAAATCTGTCAATCATCAGCCCTAATTCTTGTGCTGAAGAAGAGAATGCAAAATAAGCAAAAATATTTAGAGATTATGAAAACTGACATATTTGATATCACAAAATTTCCTTTATTTAGTCAGAAATGGATACTTACAGAATTTGAAAGGAGTGGTAAGCGGTGATTGAACACTCGGTGTGCCATTCAATGGTATGCAAGTCATTTAAGTTTTGGTTGCCCTTGTGAAAATTAACAATGAAGATAGCACTTGCGTATTGGACAGGGATAGGACTAAACTAATGTAAAAGACAGTCTTAGTTCGATAAAATTCAAAAATCATTTATATATAATCGAACTAAAATTTTAATTACACATTCCAACGAATTCACAAACACTATTCACTTAACTATCACTCATTTCTATCTATTTACAAATTCAAGAATTTACAATTATTTTCTAAACGGAAGCTTAGAAACTCCTCCATAGACTTGGAACACAAAGTCTCCTGATGCCGAACTTTTTCTTTACAAATTGATAAGTGTATTTTATGCACTTATCATGACCATATTACTAAACATTTATGTCGTCAAATTATTAATTTCTACTTAATTTGGGTTAATTTTCTTTTATTTTTAGTTATGGACTCGTCTCCAAACAATTGGAAAGGAAGAAGGACAAAATCGAATGAAATCTACAATTTTGGAGATCAAATTNAGTTTGGGGGTATTTGATGAGTGCATTTTGTGCACTTATTTAAGTTATTTTACTTGGGTTTCATGTCGTCAAATTATTAATTTTTACTTAACTTGGGTTAATTTTCTTTTGTTTTAGTTATGGACTCGTTCGAAGCAATTAAAAATAAAAGAATGAGGAAATTGAATAAAATCAGCAATTTTAGGAATCAAAGTCTATACTATAGAAATTGAAGGACTAAATTGCATTAATTCTAAAGCTTGAATGACTTGGAAAAATATAAAGTTAATGGGCCTCACTTGTGGACTTTGAATTGGTCTAATCCCTCAATTACCTAATTACATTACAGGTTATGAAAAAGGATTATATATACTACACACGCAGGCAGAAACGAGGAGGAGGAGACGGCACAGAATTATATACATACAAGTCTCCAAATCAGAGAAAAAAATTGGGAGATTACGCATGAAAAAATTGAGAGATCACACATACAATTGCTGGCTGAGTGGATAGGAGAAAAGAAGAATATAAAAAAGGCAGAGAAGCCGGGAAGAAATAAGGGCTGCCAACATTATACGCAGAGAAGGGCGCAGCCTTGGAGGTTGGCAATTAAAAATCTATCCATCCATACACGGAAATCGAGGAGCTTATTTTTTATATATATCCTAATCCTAATCCTAATCCTAATCCTACAACATAAAAGAGGGAGTTTGTTCTGCCACGTGTTGCACTCTCGCCATCCTTCCCAAAACGACGTCGTTTGGCTTAAAAGATCCTGTTGCCCACTGCCTTTCTTTCCATTCAAAATGCCATAGCTCTTGTTTTTCCCTATGGTGTCTCTCTTCGTGAAAACCCTAACGGAAAACCATTACCCTGGAGGTGAAGTCCTTCTCCTTTGATACCATCGGAAATGTCAAAGCCAAAGAACAATTGTCATTTCTTGTATGTATGTTATGGAGACACGCCGTGCCTCCATAACGCACGGAGACACGGAACGTGTCTTCGTGTCACACGGAACGTGTCTTGTATCTCACGGAACGATGTTGGAGGATCAGGTGGCGTATTTGCTACATAGGTATTTGGGGAACTATATCAGAGGACGCAATAAAGAAGCCCTAAAAATCAGTGTCTCGCGAGGTAAGTATTTTTTTCAAAAAAATTTATGTTTAAGCAAGCTTTTGTTCATGTAGATTGAAAATTGAGTTTCTGTTGACTCTAATTTAGTGTGATTTATTTCATTAAGTGTAGAATTTAGTTGAATTCGAGTTCTGAGTTCTGGAGTGGCGCGTAATTAAGTTTTGGATTCACTCTTAATTTCCTCAATTTAATTTTACAGTGTCGTGTTCGTCTATTCAATTGTAATATGTTGAATGTACTAAATTTATCACATACTGTTGTAGTTCGTTTAGGACTATTTTTTCTTTCAGCAATTGCTATTACAAAAATCCTTATCACTCTCTAGAATGAACTAATAATTGGAGCTAATCTGTCATGGAAAAGGATGAGGGGAGGTTATTAGGCTCGCATATATTGTAGCTGAAAGAATTTTTTTTTTTTAATCACCAAAAGTCTGAATAAATAAGCTATTTATAAAGGTTATGGTCAGAGAACAGTTTCCATATTTGGTAGATTGTGAAGGTTAGGACGAAGAATCTTGTTTTGAAAAAGTGAGTGTTTGG